AAGAGGGATGATTGAATATTATACGTACCTTTTGACAAAAGAAGAAGTACTAGGATGGAGAGAAAGAACTGTGAAGGTCCAGAGGGACTAGGAGCTCCCCATGGTTGCCCTGTGTGATTTACCTCTGCTGTGGCATGGCCACACCCCTCGTCCACAATACAGATTAGGAAATACAAATTAGTTAAACTTCATTATTTAAGGCAATATACACTGTAGTTATACAATCGATACTATTTACAATCAAAGATCTGCTCATTAGATCATCAAATTTCTTTTCAATAATTAAAGATGGCAAGTTTCAATGATGTGAATTTAGTCTCTTTTTAGAAACGTTGGCCTAATCAACTAAACAACTTTAGAACATAGTAAATTATCTCTGTATATATACCTCGTGAGAGATGTCCCACAAGCAACAACACATAGAAACATTACCGTTTTTATTTCATTTTGTTATTGATATCTTGAAATCATAAGATGAAGTATGCATAAATGGATGAAAAATGAGATCAAATAATAGCTTGCTTAATATTTTCAGTAAAGAAAATGCATAAATATAAGTTCAGAAGTTAAGTAAAAATTCTGTACTTTCAAGTTTGATTTAGAAATGTCAATATAAAATGTTATGTGCATTTCTTTGACATATTCCTGACTTCTGTTCACTGGAAAAGCCTAGAATCAACCACCAGCCCAGCAGCAGTAACAGAGCCAGTTTGTTATCAGAGGAGAGCATTGGTACACATGTGATCGACCCTGGGCATTTAGCTTTAGCCAAACCGGCTGTTTTTAAACTTCAGGTCATGTTTTCATTTTAAAATCAATACTAAATGGGCTTCACAGATGTTATATTCAGAACTTAATCAATTCTACCTAAACCATTCTGATTTTGGACCATCTTCATAATTCTCCATGTCTTATGCAAATATTTACTAATCCTTTTTGATGAGGTCAATATACAAGGCCCTTGGATTGTACAAGTGAAAAGATATTTGTTGCATCTTTGGAGCTCAACCTCTAACTCGCATCTGCCTCTACAGGATCCATTAAATATAGCTCTAGTGTCAGTAATAGCAATTACCCACAAAATCTGTATTTCCACAGGCTTAGGACTTATCTTGGGCCTTAAAAATATAAATGCAAACTCTTGTGTAAAAAGATCCCTTAGTCCATGCTGTGAATAGTGAATCTGAGAGGAGGACAAGTCCAGTGCCAATGTGGTCTTTAAGTGGGCATTGTCCCACCAGGACACTATACACTTATTCTAGAATGTTGTTGTTCAATAAAACATTCTTGCTGTTTCACTTACAGATTTGACTTGGAATCTATGAGTGGTCATTAAATCAGTAGTATTTCCTTGAGCACACATGCATCATGCAGTTAGTTAGGGGTATTTTTTTATTTTTTATTTTTTTTGCCTAGAAATAAGAAAAAAAAATCTCCTATTAAGCAAAAAGGAATAAGACCTTCTGCTTGCTAAGAGGTTTTCCTAGTTCTTAATTAATATCATATAAGCACACCTTGTATTTCTACCTTTCCATGTTTAAGTGGAACTGTAAAGATATCATGAAAAACAATTCTCTGTATCAAGCTGAAATACTTTATATGAAACTAATGGAGGCTCTGAAAAGCTGTGGAATTAAACATACACAACTGTCAGAGTGTCCGGATCATTTGATGACAAAGAGTGGCTGTAGGACTAGAGAGGCTGCCTGGATCCTGGGTCTGTACCTCTAGCCATTCCTGCGACCTCAGAGTTAACCTGACAGAGCCTCAGTTTCCTCCTGGCTGAAGTGAACCCGCCTCAGAAGGAAAGCTGAAGATCAAATGAATGAACAACATCCACACGATGCTTATAAAGGTGTGTCCTCCACTGGCCAATACTAAATAAACTAGTGTCTTTTTATGTCATTGCTTTTTCTAGTTATCTTCTTTGGCTTTGCTCTTCACTTCTATTTTCAACATTATTGAAAAGCTACAAATTGATTGTTCTGATTAAATACTTTCTAACAAAGGGAAAATATTGTATGCTAAAAGCTTAGGTTTAACCCTTCAGTTTTATCCCGGAGGATTCCCCATATTTAGCAATTTGATTTGTCACACTCACTTAACTTTGGGAGGCTATAAATATTTTCCTAGATTTGCTCAAACCTTCCGCTACATCCCTGATGTGAATGCCACCTTCAGGGCCACAGCCCCACCTGCCCACAGCCATTGCTGCTGGGTTCCTTACCAATCATCAAGGGCGACCTGCAAGGCCACAGAGGTACAGAGTCACCTTTCACAAGCCAGCGTGGCAACCTGCCACTCCCGTTGCTCCTGACCTAGTTCTGAATATATCTTTGACCTTTAAAAATACTGCAGACAACTGCTTTTTCTTTTACAGGTAGAATAGCATTTAAAAGCTATGCTCTGGAGTTCAGTTGTAAGGTCCCCTTTTCACTTTTAAGGGCATTGATATTTTTAATAGCTTGCTTTTCTTTTATTACTTTGTTTTAAACCTGCTCATCCATTGTGACTTGTTTTTCAACTTGAATTTCTCTGAATTTTTTAAATAATTTTTATTATGGATTGAAGAATGTTTCCATTTAATGAATTATGGGTAAATAAATATAGAACTAGGAATTAATATCCACTAACTACCATCTTTAGGAATTCTATTCTTTACATTCCAAACATATTATATTCTTCTATATCACAGATTTCATATACTTAATTCTATAAATATTTAATGCATTGTTCTGCATTTAGTGTAATATACACCTAGCATTTAAACTGTTTGAATCAATAAAAGATTGATCTACATGTATTCAAGTTTTAAGCTGATGAGTACTCCTTGAATGTGGTTGCATATGTGAGTGTCATTTTAAGTGCATTTTGACTGAAATGCTGAAAATGGGAAAATAACAATATTTTCTCATCTTTCTTAGGATAACATGAACAATAAATCACTGGAGAGAAATTAGTTAGAGTGAAACTCTTGGCAATTAGATGGATCTTGAAAAATGTATTACCATTCTTACAGGAAATAATTAGTGATGTTCAGGAAAAAAATATAATTCAAATAGCATAAGACACAGTGAAAAATCTGCAGTGCCCCAGTGATTGTCCGGGTTCTCCTTGAGTGGAGCAGGGCCTCTGTCACACCAGGCAGTGGGAGCCAGGTCAGTTATCTACCAGGTCTTTTCTTCTCTAGTCTAAATAAATTTGTCTGGCTTTTAACACTGGACCCTTAGTATAGAGGCTGTACTTCACCTTCTGTTTAGGCACAGAAGCAGCAAGCCACAGGCCTGCAGCTCGGGCCCAGGCTGAATGCTGAATATTTTTTGTTTCTGGGGCTTTTGCAAATTCCCTCTTGGAATTCTCCATTCTAATTTTTTTCAGTTTTCTTTGTGTATTGTTTTCTAGGACAACCATAGCAACCCCCCACAAACTCAGTTACTTAAAACAACAAAAATTTACTCCCTCCTGCTTCAGGAGGCAAGAAGCCCACAATCAAGATGGACCTCTGGTAGCTTCTCTAACCCAAGCCAATAGCTGGCTGGCACTGCATAATCCTGTCTCCGCTCTCTTCTCATGGCCCTCTTCCCCTTGTGGCTGTCTCCCTTCATTTCATATGACACCAGACAGACTGCATTAGGGCCCACCTCCTGACCTCATCTTAACTTGATGACATCTGCAGAGACCCCATTTCCAAATCAGTCCACTCCTCATCTAGGAGGGGTTAGGAGGTCAACATATCTTTTCGGAGGACATAGTTCAACCCATAATAGCAGATACTACTGATTATTTTATCTCTAGTTTAAGTCTTTTACAAATTAAGAATAAATGGACTATATTTGATTATCAGTAATTTGATTTTAACTGTAATATGTTTGTATTACCTTATTATATTCATAAGGATGAGTTCATTCATTAAGTCAGGCAATATTTATTGATCAATAATAAGTGACTGATTGATGACTAATCTGAGCTAAACTGGAGAGTGAGGAGCAGAAATGCAAGTTAAATAGAAACCTTCTCTTAAAGAAGCTTAGATTATAGCAACAGAAATAAAACAACTCTGAAATGCCAACAATTTAAAATAGAAAATAATTAGTGCCTTAATTGATTCAGGGATAAGGTTCCAAGAGGAAGGAGTGCATCTGTGTAAGGAAAGTTCCTTCGAATAACGATGGTCAACAGAGAGGGGTTTTCTCTCCTTCACCAAACAGTTAGCTCTGGGAAGAACTTCCTGGCCCTCTTCAAATACATCAGCATCTAAGTAGTAGATATGCCCATGACTTGAGGCTGTGCTGCCCAACAGTGGCCAGGCACCAGGGCTATTTTCTGAGCTGTTTATATTTATGATGAGATAAATACAGTAATTGAAACAAGCATTTTGAAAGTTTTAGAAGAACTCTGACAATTCTGGATATGTTGAAAGTCTTAACTTTCTAAAATTGTGAGTTGGTGTTTTGTATGTGATTTTTTTCATTGTTTTCTATTAATTTATTTTTATTACATTTTACAGAAGTGTAGCTCCAGGATTTGTTGAAATATAAAAAAATAAACCAATTCTTTCTCTCAGATATTTGAAATGCTCTGAACTAAGACTTTTTTTGGAGAAGGCCCACATTAAAACAGCACTGCAGGGCCTCAGGCCAAATCTTTCCCATGACCCATCCCACAAGGTCGTAGCTAGACAGCTCAGGTGACAAGTAAGAAATCTAATTATATTTCTTCATATCCAGACTTGTCTAGACTGTTTATGAAGGCATCTCAGATATAAAGATAATCACTAGTTTAAAAAGAGAAAAAAAAATGGAGATCTCATTTTTACCTGGACTTGCCATTATAGTTATGTGTTCAAAGTAGCTAGGCATATCCAGGGGACAGTGAACGGTTTCCAGAAAGTGGTCTCCACGTCCTACTGCAAGACCCTGAAGCTCATCTGCATCCAGCCTTTAAAAATTTCTACCACCCATCCAAGAGACGATTTTAATAAAAACACAATGATATTTGGCATATGAAAAAATCTTTAAAGCATACCAAGTTGTTTGTACATGAAAGGAATATTTTTACTACAGGTACAGACTTTTTTTTTTTTGGAAAATTCCAATAAAGAAAATATCTCAAATATTGAGCAAAAACAAAGTCATGAAGTATTGTGAGCCTTTTTGTTAAGGATTTTTGGAATAAGAGTGGAGAATCTGCACAAGATAACCATTCTCTCTGTTGCTGTTTTCTTCTTATTCCATAATCTAGTGACCCTGATTTTCTTTATGAACAGGTTTTTATGCTGGTCATTTGGGGAAAAGACAGTCAATAAGTTATACCAAAATCATGTCGTCAATATAAAATTTGCTCAGAATATATGAAAGTATTTTTTTCTGCAAAGTATTACATTTTTCTTTTATTCTTCTTTAGAGAGGTTGTTTGAAATCTTTTCTTTGACATTCCGCTGTCTCTCACACATGTGTAAGTTGAAAATCTCTTTTTTGAGGAATCTCAATAAAATCTTACTCAGTCTAGGCATCACCTTCTGGTCATCTCCTTGCTTTGGCACTTTCTCCTATTGTAAAAACAAAGGGGCAAAAGAGACATGCTTTATGACAATACTTCTATGTGCATGTGACTTTAGCACAGGAACGCTGAGCTAACATACAAGTCTTCCATGGAAAATGCATTTTGAAGATTGTTGTTAGAGACCAGACAGGCACTACTGAGGTTGAGAGAACAGAGTAGGAAGAGAACAGCCCAGAGACCCCCAACCAGGACACAAGAAGCCCAAGCTTCACAGACACTGAGACTGAATTCAGGGAGCCACCAGGCAGCCTATCTATGTGATCTTAACTACATTTGTGACCTTCGGATAATTAAGAGGATGTAGAGAAAACCAGTAGTGCCAATGAGCAATGGTTTTACAAATGTTTCAAATTCAAGTCATGTTTTCCTAAAGAGAATTTGTCTATGAATCAAGTCTCCAAGGACAATTTTATTATTCACAGAAGGAAAATTTAAGACCAAACTAATTTCCCAACATGGCAACAAAAGTTTACAGCAAAGGATGTAGCCCCATGTTACACATTAAAAGAAAAAAAAATCCCCAACTTCTTCTTGGTAGCACACTTTTACACAACTTAAGGGATCCCTGTCAGTCAACTTTGTGTCACTTCTTATTGCATTACGGATCAGCTCTGACACTGTCTGAACATAGATGTCACCTGTCAGATTGTTCATGCTTAACATTACTGACCCTAAGCTGAATACCCACAGAATGAAAGAAATGAACAAGAAGGAGTTAAAAAGGAAGCAGCCTGCCCATGGCCTGCTCTAATTCCATAGTCACCCTCCAGAAATCCAGGGATTTGTCTGCAGATACTCAAAAAGAACTATCCCCTGGAACTTCATATAATTTTACTTCTTATAGTTTTCATCTGGGAAAAAATATAAACCCAAAGACACCAGAGTAACTATAGAATTTACTAAAACACAAATCAGTAGGTATTATTTAATCACTAGAAGTATTATAATTTTTTTACATTTGAACTAAAGAAATATTTGAACTAAAACAAGCATTTAAACTAAAATATATATTATGTTACATATTATGCTATATATTTATCATATTACATATATTCTTATAAAACTGTATATACATTTTATAAATATATAAAATAAAGTGTTTGGACTTTATAAGATATGTAAAAATTTATGATTTTGGATATAAGTAAATGTATATATGCACACACATGCATTGTAATATTTCTCTTAGATGATTTCTGGATACTTTGTCATTTGATTATGGTTGAATAACTATTATTTTAGAGATTTAAAAGCTAGCTTTATCAGGGAAGTGAGCCAAGTTATATATTCTAAAGAATCTGATCCATTAATTAAAATCATAGTCTAATATATATCCAATTAGTAGAATTCATTTAAATTTCCCATTAAAAGAGAGTTGAAATTCTTGCCAAAATATTTATTATCATTAACTCCACAAGTATAGTTTTATCAATATTAATTGATCTGTTCACTCATAGAGCCTTCTCTGAAGCTTATCAGAATTTGAATACAATGCTTGCTACCAATAATGTATAGCTCCAGAGACCTGTTCTCTACCCTCCTCTGGATGCAAAACGTGGTAAGTTCTAATAGAGATCTTGTTGACTACTTTCATGTGTCATCTTGACTGAGCCACGGAGTGCCCAGATATTTCACCATTTCTCCCCCTGTGTGCACAGGGTGTTTCTGGGTAGGATTAACATTTGAATCCGTAGATGGAGTAAGGGAGATTGATCTTCCTAATGTGGGTGGATTTTATTTGATTAGTTACAGGCCCAACCAGAGCAAAGGTTGACCATTTCCTGAACAGAATGGAATCCTTCCTGCATAACTGCATCATCTTTTTCTTGCCTTTGGACCAAACTAAAACATCAGCTAGTCCTGGATCTATAGATTTCCGGCCTTCTTCTCCGTGGGCTGCTAAGCCTTATATAGCAGTTCACAGGCTAAAATTCATGGCTTGATTTCATGAGGGAAAGAAGGGAGATATTACAATTTTATCTGAATAAATATCATTATAAGATTTCAACCATCTTACTTTACAGAAAATTATAACCCCAATGATTTACACAATAACAATTTTTTATGAGGAGCATTTTCAAGTATAATTATTCCACTGTGTTTATTGCTATATCTATTCCATCTGTGACAGAACAATTAGATAAAGCAATTCATCATTCCCTACTTTTCTCTAGATTGAGAGGAAGGAATGAAAGGTATGTGCCCATCTCAGGGAAGATAAGCAAGAGTTTTTATCTAGAGGCCTCTTATTTTTCTTGTCTAGAGGTGAATCGAGGGAGGCTGTGTTTGAAAACCTGGGCTGAGGGAGGAAGAAGGCAGAGTTTTATATTGGATAGGGTCTGAAGGGCGGAGAGAAAGGGCAGTGTTCCCAATGCAATGAGGGTGATGATTCTCAACACTGGGAAACGTGTACAATTCAGCGAATAGGAATGCAGATGATTATTTGAAGGAAAAATAACACTTTGGAAATTTACTTCACATCTTCCATTAAAATAAGTCCAGATGAGTCAAAGGTGGAAACATGGTTGGGATGGAAAATTATAAAAGAAAACATGAGAGGTAGATTCTATTTTACAATTTCATAGTCAGCAAAACTAGTCAGCATTTCAAAGTGTCGAATAAAACACAGACAACATATAGTAAAGCACTGGTAAATTTCAATACATATAGATTTAAGATTCTTAACATAAGATTTCACAAGGTCAAGGACTTTGGTTAATTTGGGAAAATATTTTTTCATATCACAGGATAAGCAATGGCAAAATCTCCTCAATAAAATAAATACTCTTGTTAATGAAAAGGAAAATAAAAAGTATATTACATTGCACTGAGAACAAAGCACCATTCACAGGTAAGAAAATACAAAATGTTCTTAAAGCTGACAGTGTTACTGAGAATATACCTTTTCATAATCATTATGAAAGGTATCTGGCAATAACAATCCAAGTGTATGTGGGCATTCCTTGTGATTAGGCAATCATTCTCTTGGGCATTTAATTCCACAGCTATGTTTAATGTTGTATGTGGAAGGCCATTGGTAACAGTTAGTTTATGTTATATAGAACCATCTACATGCTACTAATGTGGGCAAGTTCAGTAAGTAGTAATAAATGTATTGCAACAAGGAAATATAAAGCTTTATGGAGAACATGTATTACATCACATTTCTTTTGTTGTAGTTGTTGGAAAATAAAATTCAGACATAGTATTTGGAGGTGCATTTAGAGCATCTGGAAAGACATACAAAAATAATGGATACACCTAGGGAGAAGATGTAGCTAGTTGGACAGAAGAAAGAAAAATTCACATTGTAGCATTCTCTACTTCTCAATCTTTTATGTTGAAAATGTATAAACTATTTGAAAGAAAATAAACAAGACACTTAAAATCCCCAAGTATTTATAAACAACTAACACCAAAATCATCCTTAATAATGTATAGGTCAAAGAATAATATCATGAAACTATGAAATACTTAGAATGAAATCATAATAAAGCAATATAAATCTAGATATAGATACAATGGGGTCACATGCAGGTAAAACTAGACTTAACTGAAAATTATAGCTTTAAGTGATTGTATTTTACAAAAAGAAATAATGAAATATTGAAGAGAAAGATTGAAGGGAAAGAAAAAATCATAGTGGAAAAACATAATAAATAATAAAACATGAAGACAAACATGTAGTCAAGCATAAAAACATTCTAGACATAAAAATGTCCTAGAAACCATCAACAAAACCAAAAAGCAACTTAATGAAAGAAAGTCAAGTAAAATAGACAAAAAAATAGACAAAAAGAAATTTTAAGAAATGATTATGACCTGAGATAAAAGTAAGATTATCTGAGAATACCAGGAACACTTTTTCAATGCCCATGTGAATCTAAATTAAATGTGCAAGGAGCTAGACAGCTGCCTGAACTAGAAAAACCTTAACCCAAGAACACATAAATAAAGCAGAACAAAAAGCTGTGGGAGTCAAAATCAAAGTAAAGAAATTCACTAGTAAAAGAGTTTCTCGACAGAAATTAGAGTTGCAGTCTTCTACACGTGATTCCAAATGTTCAAGGGCACAGGCATAATAGTCTTATGCAAGAACTTCTTAAAAATGAAAAAAAGTGGAAGATTAACCATCTTATGTCACAGGCTTTCACATGAAGAGGAGCAAAAGCTGGAACTAAAACTAGCTACATTAAATTCAGCAGTGCATTTTTAAAAATCCTACCTAACCTACTAGTCATAACCTAAAATTAGAGTGTTGTTTCACTCTAGAAATTTGAATAACATAATGTATGCCATTAATAGATAGAAAGGAAAAAAGTCATCTGCTTAATTTATGCAAATGTTTTATAAAATTAAAATATTCGCTATAAAAACACTTAGCTGAATAGAACTAGACGTGACAGTGACAGTCATTAACCTGATAATGGTATTGGCTAAAATGAATGTAAATTGTGACAGTTTGGGTGCATTCTTTTACATTCAGGAGAACAGCTAGAATGTCTGGTAATATCATTGTCATTCTGCAGGAGAGCATACCCCCTGACCCATGGTATAATTTCAAAAGTATAAGAAGCTTGAAATTATATGAAAAAATAACTACTAACAGATACGATTGTCTTCATCAATACTTAAAGAATAAGTTATTTAGACAACCAGGTTCACTAGATCAGAATTACATTGCAAAATAGTAGAAATTGCCAGTAATCACAACTAAAAAAAAAAATGTGTTAGAAAAAAAAATTCCACTCGAAACAGAAGCAGAGGCCATAAAATTATCAGGAAAATAAAACTATTCAAGCATACAATACCTTTGTTAAAAATTCACAAAATCTTGAAGGGCATTAAAATGATGCAAAAATAAACACATTCTGAAATGTATCAGGGATTGTTTCTTGGGAAAATACATACTCTATAAAATGTTCATATTACTTACACATGTCCCACAAGCAAGGGTGACAAAGAAGCTCAGTTTGACATTTCTGGGGGTGTTGTGAGCGGTACAGCCTGCAAGTTTACTACACGGCTTGAAGTTGGACATCCATAGTCAATGAAATTTTCCTTTGTTCCTCATCTGATAGAGATGACATCCGAGTGTGTGGACAGGACAACCCCAACCCAGCACCTGGCAAAGACTGGCACTTAGCTTTGCCCCCCGGTGGATGTCCTGAAGTCACATGCTGGTGGAAGCCTTCTGTTTCCTCAATACATATGTTTGCTTCTTAGTACCAGAGCTTCTGCATGAACTAAGAAGAACACATTGTTGATATATTAAAAAAAAAAAAAATTGAAAGTACTGTATACAGGAAAAACCAAACACAGGGCCAACTCTAGCACGAGATCTGGGGAACCCCATTGGTGAAACCTGGGTGTGGAGGCTGCCTTCACACTTGAGACCTCAAGTCTTCCAGGAGGCAGCTGTCAATGTACGTGAATATTCTGTGTTAGACAGTAAATGACCTCAAAGCTGCTTTTCAAAATCATTGTGTTACTTGAATAAATAAATAAATAAATGTGGAGTTCTTAATCTTTCAACCAGTTATAAAAAAGGAAAGAGAATACTTTTGTGATGGAGGAGACTTCTTATGTATTTAAATTTGTAGGGCTGATTTAATTTTCATCTGTAAGTTGAAATAGGAGATTTCATGAGTGACTGTCTTTGGGCAACACCTCCTTAGGCCGGGAGCCTAGTCATCACCCTGGGCTATGCTGACACTGTGCCCAGACTGGGTGGCTCAAACAACAGGCATGCATTTCTCCCCGTGCTGGGGATAGAGTGCTGGTTGGGTTTGGGGAAGGGCTGGCTTGGGCTTCCTGGTTCCTGGCATGCAAACAGTCAGCCCTTCATTCCTCCTCAGTCAGTGCACACTGTGAGAGGGACAGCAAGCTCGCTGGTGACTTTCCATAAAGGCTCTACCTCCCCCACTGGGGCTTCCTGACCTCCTATAGCCCTAATTACCTCCCAAAGCCCCATCTCCAAATACCATCATATTGGGGGTCAGGGCTTCAAAATATGAATTTGAGGGTGACATAAAGATTCATTTCACAGCACGGAACCTCTTTCTTTAAACACAAAATTGGCTGATGCATCTGTGCCTTGTATACGAAAGTTTATCGATGTATTGGATGCTTAAATTAAACTTGCTCTTCTAGGAATTTTTTATAAGAACACACTTTCATCACGATAAACACATCCATCTCCTTCGTATGGTGTCAACTCATTTACATCTCTTAAGACCTCAATTACTATTGTTTGAAGACAAAACCCACTAACCCAGCCCTTCCTGATCAATAGCAGGCGGTTCTCAACTGTCAATGTTTACCTCATTGTTCAACTTATTTTTAGCTGAAGCATGGTTAAATGGTAGGCGCTATAGAATATTCCAGAACTATTCTGGTGTTTCTGTTTCCACAGGATTAATATTTAGAAGACTCAACATTTAAAAAAAATCCCGAAGAAGTAAAACTGGACACACACTCAAGACTTCTCTCTGAGCAAATAGATTACCATGATCAACCTGGGTACAGCTCTGGTATAGAACTAGTCCGCAGCAGTCTGACCAGGTGTGGCCGAAGACAGTCAGTCATTCATGAAATCTCCTATTTCAATTTACAGATGAAAATTAAATCAATCCTACAAATTTAAATACATAAGAAGTCTCCTTCTCCTTCACAAATGTATTATCTTTCCTTTTTTATAACTGGTTGAAAGATTAAGAACTCCACATTCATTTACAGTCCTCCTCTCCTCCGGTCCCTTCCTAGCAGCCTGAGATACTTGTGTTGACAGCTTGAACAGGGGGTTGTTTTACGGTAATACTCCAGCAGTCATCCTGCTCCGGGATGAGTCATCTCCACTCTTTATTCATTCCCTGGCTGCATTTGAAATTTGAATTTTGTCTTTCCGCCCTCCAAAGGCAATGGATTGGGGAAAGTCCAGCCTGTTAGATAATGGAACACAGCCTGCTAGCCTTTGATAAAAGACTATAATCCTGGAGAACAAGGTGTCAGACTGTTTTTTTTTATTCCTTCATTTTTAATCTGATGAAGAATGGCTCAGCACACTTAACTGATCAGAGCATATCAATGTGCTTTTGGAATCATATCGCCTGGGTGATAAATACTGCAGGAGAACCCATATTTTTTGGACATGCCGCAATGAAGTCCATTTTCCGCTTTCCTATAATTTTGTTCACTCTGATAGTCAGATGTTCTCTTCCCCGCCATCCATCCTGTTCTCTTGACAGAGACAACGGAGATCCATCAGGTGCGGGTCTGATTAAGGTGACTTGATGCTGAAACCTCACTACAGATGCTAGGTGCAGTTGCCCCTCCACCTCCTTTTAAAACTCCATGCCTGAATACAGTTTTTAGAAAACACACATCAAGTTTAACACGAGAAAAAAAAAATAAACGGCCCTGAGTTATGGCACCACATAAAATCCCTCATCTGAGTACCCCAACCCCATTCTTTACCCAGAGCCTCTCTGGTCTCCTGTTTGGATTTGGAGACTGGATTACGTGAGGAATTTAGGATGGCTCCTTTCCACTGGAAGCTGAATGGAGGGAGAGTAGGGAACGGCTTCTTTCCCACTGGCTCTCATCTTCACCCCTGCTCCAATCTGCACTTTGCAAAGCACCTCAAAAGCTGGAATAGGTTCCAGTTTCCTTTCTCCACACCAGCTCCGTGAGCTTGAAGAAGCGCTTTTGCATCTGCTGGGTCCAGACATGAAGCTCATCCCCTTCACAAAAGGATCAACTGTGGCCTCTCTGGATTAGCGAGCTCTGTGTTTCTACCCTTGAGGAACAGAGGACAGTGGAGCCTGTGTGGCATTTCAGCTACATAGAAAGTAGAGATTCTCCAGGGGGGTCCATGGCCCTACAATTCTTGGGTCCAGTTCTTTGTTTCCTCCTAAAGTGACAGTGGACTGGAAAGTGGAGCCAGGCCCTGTGAACTGTGCTTATGGTAACCACTGCCCTGGGGCTCAGGGATGATGTGTGATGAACACTCACAAATAGATTTTCTCCTTTGAATCCAATTTTTTAAAACACCATGATCTCAATCAACTTCTCCATACAGGAGAAGTCTCATTCCAGGAGAATTCTGCCTGCCAGTTGGGAAGCTCTTCCTAATAATTTGCACCATTCCTACATATCCATGATCAGAAATGCCGGTGGGTCAGTTTTTATTTATGGCTTTTTATTTAATGTTGACGAAGCTTGAGTCATTCCCTCTGCTGCGTGGAGAACTGAATGTTGGGTGATGGAATAGAGGCACAGAGGCTAACCGGGTATGATGAAATAATTCATGTGAGACTCTTAGTTTGGCTGGTGATGGCTTGGATTCTGGTAGGAACAGAGAAACGGCAAGAGGAGAATGGATTTCTAGTGTATTGGGAAGGCTACATGATGGTGTTTGCTAATGAATGATTAGCACCTCTGTGTTTGCTTTAAGAAAGGAATGTCTGTTGGATGCTTCATGTGGTTTTGGCTTGAGTAACTCAGTGAGCGGCATTATCTTTTCCTGAAATGAAGAAGCCTGGGAATGGAAAGGCCCTAAGAGCGGGTGTGGGATCATCTGCTCTGCTTTGGTGGTGAACTCAAATTTCCAAGTAAAGTCATCAGGAGGACAGTTGGACACATGAGCTCAGTGCACACACAATGGGTAGAGACAGACACCAGGTCTCAGCACACAAGAGGTCTAATCCCTAAGGTCATGGATTATGAACAGGAAAAGTGTGGAGAAGAGGAAATTCAGCACTGCAAATCCTCTCTGCTCACCAAGTCCTTGTTTTCAAGAAAAATTAGGAATGCTCAGAAAACAAAGCCCTGTCCAATGGGTTACCTGGGTATATGTTGAGTGCTAACATGTGCAAACCCATGCACGCGGCTCCTGTCTCCTGTGCAGTCAGTCAGTGAGTGAAGGATGCTTCAGACATTTCTTCCATACTGGAGGCCTCGGATATCTTCCTGTTGAAATTATTTCAGGACCTCTGAAAATAGCTCTCACTAGCCCCATCTTTCCGCAGCTTCTGGGAGCATTCAGAGCACCCAGGGGTAGCATAGCGTCACTCGCACACCCACACAAAGTGGAAGCAGCCAAACCACCAATTAAATGTGACAAACAGCGGTTTATGATCTAAGCTCCAATTACCCTATTATAAAATTTTGCTATGAAACAAAACCCGTGTGCCTAGAATCAAATATACATTGTAAACTCTAGGACTGCATTTTCATGACCAGCTGCGGAAAATTATTGTTACACGGGGTGGGGAGGCGAATGTGAGGAGAATCGAAGGGAAGACATCCCAGACTTCTGAGTCCTGAGGGACCTATTTTGTCTGCCACAAGCTTCCCGTTGACAACCTGTGTAGATAATTGCTTGACATGATGCTGCAAGGTCAAACTTATCCACAGAGGGAATTTCAGAGCAAGGACGCATGTGTTCAAATCTCAGCTTTGCCAAACATTGGGAGTTTCTGCTGAAACAACATCACTTTTATCTGCTTCAAATTGCTCATCTTTCTAATATGAAAATAATGCTGTCCAGCCCTTGTCCCTGGTAGCCTCTGCTCCAGGAAACACAACAGCTCAAACCCACCCGGGAGTGCAGATCCGCTCTTGCCTGTCCCAAACATGCCATATTTCCATCATTTTTCCAAGACACAACCAGAATTCGCTTTGCTTTTTTTTCCTTTATGTTCACATTTTTTCTCACTTGAGGTGGAATAAAATAGATAATTGTAAAATTCAGTGAAGTTTTGAGTATGTCTGACAAGACCAAACAAAAGGAAAGTCCGTGCTGAAGCAATTGGCAGTTTACACAAAGATTTCTCTCCAGGTAATTTCTCTCTGTGTGTAAAAACCATGGCGTCCTTAGCACTTAGTGGGTGCCAGGCTCTTCTAAGTGCTTCATAAACTTCATTTCACTTGGTTTTCCCAGCTACGCCATGAGTTTGAGGTGTTTTCATCTTCATTTCACCAATGAGCAGAGAGAGATCAAGTCATGACTCAAGCTATGAGATCTGGGATTTGAACCCTAGCTGTCCAGCTCGGACATCCATGCTCCAATCACTGGGCTGTGTCCCTTCTGAGAACAAAACACACTACGTTCTGTTCTCATAGTTACTACTTACCTGGTGAAAAATATACTGTGGTCTGTCTGAATTGAGGTGGCCTATGGTCCTCTTTAGCAACCCCTACCTCTAGCCCTAGCAAGGGCCACCCC